TCCCAAAAATTTAGATGTTGTATGCACATATCTATTGACCGATTTCAGATACAGTCTCAAAATTTGGAATGTGTAACGGAATTTGGAAAAAAAATAAATTTGCCAAATTATATTGAAATCGGTTCAGATTTGGATATAGCTCCCATATATATTTTCGGCCGATTTCAAGCATTTGATGCACCAAGCATGCTATGTGTCCCAAATTTCAATGAAATTTGAAACGTGTGATGGATTTTATCTAAAAATTGATTTCCCATATTATATTGAAATCGGTTCAGATTTGGATATAGCTCCCATATACATTTTCGGTCGATTTCATGTATTTGGTGCACCATACACGATATGTATGTTCGATTCCAAAGAAATTGGGAATATGTAACGGGATTTTGATTAGAAAATAAATTAATCAAATTATATTAAAATCGGTTCAGATATGGGAGCTATATATTTTCCGCCGATTTCACATATTTGATGCACAAAACACGATACGTATTTCCTATTCCAATGAAATTTGCCATGAGTGACTAAATTTGGTACAAAAATAAATTTGACAAATTATATTTAAATACGCTCAGATTTGATTATAGCTCCCAAATATATACTCAGCCTATTTCACATATTTGATGCACCCAAAGCGAGAGAGACGAAATCTGGCACCTGAAAAAAAATTGCCAAATTATATTGAAATCGCTTGAGGTTTGGGTATAGCTAACATATATATTTCGACCGACTTCATACATGTTATGCACCAAACACGATATATATGACCGATTCCAATGAAATTCAGAATGTTTGGCGGAATTTGAAATTATTGTAAATAAATGTGATAAATTAATTGGAAATTAGTTAAGATTTGGATATAGCTCCCATATATATATTCTCGGCCGATATCACATATTTGACGAACCAATTTCAATGAAATATGAAAGGGGTGGCGGAATTTGGTGTAAAAGTAAATTTTTTAAAATTATATTTAAATCGGATCAGATTGGGATATGATTTTAATAAGAACCATTGACCCACAACGCCTTAGGCCAACACTAAAAAACAACACAACAATTAATTTGAAATACGCTTATTACGGAGAAGTATGTTGTTATCTCGAATTCACTAATTGCAATAGAAATGCCACTCAACTTCAAAAATTAGCAGTTTCCTGCACGCTTGGCATTTGCTATGAAGTAAATAAATCCAAAGGACAAACCCTTGGTGTATGCATGTCATGTTATTGCTTTTCTAATGGTTTTGTTTATTAACGCATTAATTTGTTTTTTTTATCCAACAGATATTCGTAAACAAAATTTTGAGTGCATATATAATCAAAAGGGGTAGCGAAGCGCACCGGGTTCAGCTAGTATCTATATCTATAAAAGAGGAAAATGTTTGTACGTTTGTTTGTTTGTTTGTAATTTATGGACTCGAAAACTGCTGAATAGATTTTTTTGAAAATTTCCATATATACTGCAACATCGCCTGAAAGTAACATAGGCTATATACATTTTTGAATTTCCACTTGGAACTGGAGATATAGCATCAGAATCGGAGGTACCTCCCAAAAATTTAGATTTTATATGCACATATCTATTGATCGGTTAAAGATACAGTCTCCAAATTTGGAATGTGTAACGGAATTTGGAACAAAAATAAGTTTGCTAAATTATATTGTAATCGGTTCAGATTTGGATATAGCTCCCATATATATTTTCGACCGATTTCGTTCATTTGATGCCTCAAACACAATATGAATGTTCGATTCCAATGAAATTTGGAATATGTGACGGGATTTGATCCGAAAATAAATTTGTCCAATTATATTGAAATCGGTTCAGATTTGGATATAGCTCCCATATATATTTTCGGCCGATTTCAAGCATTTGATGCACCAAACACGCTATGTATCTCCAATTTCAATGAAATTTAAAACGTGTGATAAATTTTATCTAAAAAATTTATTTCCCAAATTATATTGAAATCGGTTCAGATTTGGATATAGCTCCCATATACATTTTCGGCCGATTTCATGTATTTGGTGGACCAAACAAGATATGTATGTCCAAATTTAATGAAATTTAAAATAAGTAACGGAATCGGGAGCAAAAATGAATTTTTCAAATTATATTGAAATCGGTTCAGATTTGGATATAGCTCCCATATATATTTTCGACCGATTTCATGTATTTGATGCACCAAACACGCTATGTATCTCTAATTTCAATGAAATTTGAAATGTGTAGCGGAAATTAAAACAAATATACATTTGTCAAATTATATTAAAATCGGTTCAGATTTGGATATAGCTCTCATATATATTTTCGACCGATTTCATGTATTTTATGCACCATACACGATATGTATGTTCGATTCCAAAGAAATTTGGAATATGTAACGGGATTTTGATTAGAAAATAAATTAGTCAAATTATATTAAAATCGGTTCAGATTTGGATATAGCTCCCATATATATTATCCGCCGATTTCACATATTTGATGACCATTTGACAAATTATATTCAAATACGCTCAGATGTGATTATAGCTCCATATATATACTCAGCCGATTTCACATATTTGATGGCACCAGCAAAAATTGCTAAATTATATTGAAATCAGTTGAGGTTTGGATATAGCTAACATATATATTTCGGCCGATTTCATACATATTATGCACCAAACACGATATATATGACCGATTCCAATGAAATTCAGAATGTGTGGCGGAATTTTGTTATAATAATAAATGGGATAAATTAATTGGAAATTAGTTAAGATTTGGATATAGCTCCCATATATATTCTCGGCCGATTTCACATATTTGACGCACCAATTTCAATTAAATATGAAAGGTGTGGCGGAGTTTGGTGTAAAAGTAATTTTTTTTAAATTATATTTAAATCGGAACAGATTAGGATATGATTTTAATAATAACCATTGACCCACAACGCCTTAGGCTAACACTAAAAAACAACACAACAATTTATTTGAAATACGCTTATTACGGCGAAGTATGTTGCTATCTCGAATTCACTAACTGCAATAGAAATGCCACTCTACTAAAAAAATGCAGTTTCCTGCACGCTTGGTATTTGCTATGAAATAAATAAATCCAAAGGACAAACCCTTCGTGTATGCATGTCATGTTACTGCTTTTGTAATGATTTTGTTTATTAACGCATTAAATTAGTGCAATATTTTTTTTATTTTTTAAATTTGTTTTTCTTTATCCAACATATATTCGTAAATAAAATTTTGAATGCATATAAAATCAAAAGGGGTAGCGAAGCGCACCGGGTTCAGCTAGTATATATATATATATATATATTGGGGCCATATTTAAATCTGAACCAATCTTGACAACATTTTAGGCATTCATTTCTTAACTGTATTTGATATCTGTACTAAATATCATTCTTGTGGAGGGCATATTACGCATGTGAGTGACTTAAAACCCCAAATCGGGGGTCATATAAAGCTATCACGAAAATTTAAAGATTTTGAGGAATACCAAATTGGGCAACATTTATTTAAATTTTTGGAAATTTTCCATGTCAAAGTTTTACTTTCTTTTTTCAATGTTATCGGATATTTGTTTGCAAATTGTCTTCATCGAAGTATCTGTAAATGTATATACATTTCTATATATAAATATATATAAATATAAATAAATATATATATATATATATATAATATATATATATATATATATATATATATATATATATATATATATATATATATATATATAATATATATATATATATATATATATATATATATATATATATATATATATATATATATATATATATATATATATATATTATATATATATATATATATATATATATATATTATTTATATATATATATATATATATATATATATATTGGGGCCATATTTAAATCTGAACCAATCTTGACAACATTTTAGGCATTCATTTCTTAGCTGTATTTCATATCTGTACTAAGTATCATTCTTGTGGAGGGCATATTACGCATGTGAGTGACTTAAACCCCCAAATCGGGGGTCACATAAAGCTATCACGAAAATTTAAAGATTTTGAGGACTACCAAATTGGCCAACATTTATTTAAATTTTTGGAAATTTTCCATGTCAAAGTTTTACTTTCTTTTTTCAATGTTATCGGATATTTGCTTGCAAATTGTCTTCATCGAAGTATCTGTAAATGTATATACATTTCTGTCGATATTATCTATGATATGCATATGTACACGCTTTTCCGAAAGCTCTTGTCATTTATAAGGATGAAGATCTCAAGTCTGCTATGAGTTGTTGTTGGTCTTCCAACATTTAGCCTTTCATGAGGTAGAAAACCTTTTGGTCCTCCATCGTGTAGTTAAGCTTCTGGAATTCTATGGTATGGGAGATTTAACTGTTTTCATTGCGAGTAAGAACATCACATTACTTGAAGAATGTGTGGATTGCATGGGTACTTTATTACCTTAGAGAGAGAGAGAGAGAGATTTTGGCCTGTCCTAATCAATTTAGCTGTTGTTTTAATTTAACTTCACAGTAAGGGAGGATTTGGTCAGCTTTTTCTGCAGCCTTTTCCTAACAACTCAGAATTATAGTTTAAAAGTAACTTATGGTTTTCAAGGTCTATCCTAAAAATACAAGATGTAGGCTTTCAATGACTTATTCCACAACAAGGAAAATTCCCAATATTAATTCTATCGAAAATAAATCCCTCAAACTCCAGTTGGCCAATTAATTGAATTAAGACCTCCACAACTTTATTGGAATTTTGATATCAAATTTCTTCAAAATTTATTTATTGGATTATTAATGAGCGAGCACTGAATTCAATTTAGATATTTTGTCGACCTTTCCTTGGGACAGGACATGCGTAATAAAATTAATTACAATACAATATTACAAATTAAACTACAGTCGTTAGTATGTGTACTTTGTGTGGTTAGCAGTGGATAAAAATACAAAAAAAAAAAATAAAACGAAGTTTGAACAAGTAAAGAAATCGACTTACCCGTTTTGTTTAGCTTGTAAATTTTGAATGTTTTTATTTAAACTGGGGGCCAAGAAAAAATTCTACTCCAAATCTGATGGGCCTCGCTTGTTGTTGATGTGTGATTTCCTTTCTCAGCTGGTTGATTGTTGGCTGTGAATTTTTATGGTCGTTTCTCGTTTGCTACTTTTTGCTTTTGGTGATTGAATTGCTTTTTCTTTTTATTTTGTTGAATTGGATTGTCCTTCCTTTCCTGCTATTGTTGTTGTTTTTTATTTGTCTTTTTCCGTTCAACTTGTTGATAGAAGAGGGGGTTTTCTTTGCAGAAAACACACAAAAATGTGACACGTAGATGAAGGTGGGCGTGATACGGTGTGGTGGTATTAGTGCTGATGTTGTTGTTTAGGGGTATTTTTTTTTGCCGCTACTGCTGCTGCCTTCTGTAAGGAGGTGATGACGTTGACAATGAATGATTTGAAATGTGACTTGAATGACGGCTCTTTAATTGTGGTCTGAAAAACGTTGTGGTTTAAATTTAAACATTTTTCTTGTTTCCGTTTCCGTTTGTTGTGTCGTTTTTGCTGTCGTTTTCTTTATTCGACTTCCTAGTAATTTGTTGTGGTATTTTTTTTTGTTATTTTTTTTTTGTAGCAATAGTTGTAATAATATTGGTAGTAGTTGTAATAGTAGTAGTAGTAACTATCTTGAGGATATGAAATGTTGTTTTGTTCTTGTTGTAATTTGGCTTTTGCTGTTGTTTTGGTGTTAAGTTTGTTTTATTCTTTTAATTCTGTTCTGTATTTGTTGTTGTTTTGGTTCTGCATCGGTAATGACCGCACAAATGGTTTTATGCTAATAATTTTGTTTGGTTGTATGTGTTGAGAATATGTTGCCATTTATTTTCATTACACTGTAAAAAATATGAAAAACATAAAATTAAAATATTTTTATAAATTAAAAATATTTTAGTTTGCATTCCTCAGATAAATCTATTTGAACTAGTTTAAAGTTGTAGAAAAAAAGATTTCGGTCCTAACTTAAATACAATCATTTGAAATTTAAGTATTTTTCCCTACATTGCATTCCGAGCAATCAATCTTCTAATGAGAATAAAAACTCTTCATGAACGAAAAATTTCCTAAGAGGTGGAACTTTTCCTAAGCCTGGCTTAGTGGCATGGGCTATTCTAGTGGTCTGCCTATTAAGGTCTGGTCTTTAAAGAAATATAAAGTTTTTTTTTCCAGAAGATGATGAGAGAGATGGGAGACCCATATCCTAGAAGGCAAACATGAATTCTTTAACATAGAAACGGAACTTGTCTCGTTTGGGAGAGAAAGCTCTAGTCATTTATAAGGATGAAGACCTCAAGTCTGCTATAAGTTGTTGTTGGTCTTCCATGAGTTGAATGTAGAAAAACATTTAGCCTTCCATGAGGTAGATAACCTTTTGGTCCTCCATCGTGTAGGCAATCTGCTGGACTTTTATGGTATGGGAGATTTAACTGTATTCAATGCGAGTTCGAGTAAGAACATCACATTACTTAAAGAATGTATGGATTGCATGGGTACTTTATTATCTTAGAGAGAGAGAGAGAGAGAGAGAGAGAGAGAGAGAGGAAGTAATCGTTTGTTAGATTTAAATTTGATTGGTTAAAAATAATAAAGAATGATTATAACCTACACCACATAGTGGTAAGGGTATTATGTCTGTGTGCATTTGTTTGTAACACGGAGAAGGAAGCGAGATTGATCCATAGTTACTTTTGAGGATCTTCATAGAATCACTTTCTGAGTCGATTTGTGCATGCCAGTCCGTCCGTCCATGTATTTTGTGAAGGTCGCATTTATTTATTTTCCGATTAAAATGAAATTTTGCAAAACATTTATTTGGCCCAAGGACGAACACTATTGAAATTGATGTCACGCGGATTAGTTTTAAATATAGCTCCCATATATCTTCAACCGATTTCGGGTTAATCGGCACCAATTGGCCAATATTAGTTCAAAAGTCCTGAATTTTGGTACATATATCTTTTATAGCCAAGTTTTATCAAGCCAAGTTTTATCGTGATCGGCTAAGATTTGGATATAGCACCTAAATATTCTTAATCCGATTTCAGGTATATTGTGCAAATAATGGCTAATATCAGCGCAAACGGAGTGAATTTCGGGACGTACCCTTCCATTTTATGGAACTCGGCTCGATATATATTACAATAAAATATTAAAATGTCTCCGTAAAATGTGGTGAAAATCGATTCAGAATTGGATTTGCCTCCCATATATTAGTTTACTCTGAAATCAAACTATAACTGCTCTAAATATGCATAGTGGTATAATGTATCATATAGTCGGCCCCGCCCGACTTTCCACTTTTCTTTTCTGGTTTGATATGGAATTGCACTGGGCTGGCTTTTTGAATGAAAAAAATGAAAGTTCTTAGTGGAAAATTAGGTAAAAAAACTGAAATTTTGTATTTTGAAAATATTTCAGTGACTGCATGGCTGACTCGATTAACACCATGTGAAGCGAGAATCTCGAAATTTCGCAAGTCGGTCAATGTTAGAGTGAATGGGTGAGATAACGCTTGATTTTTTTAGAAAATGCAACTATAAGTGAACCAAATAGTATTATGAAATTTGGATTGAGGGTCTGAAAGGTTTATTTTGGAATATATTATATAAACTTAGAGAAGTACTTAATTATACTAAATTTTGTATTTGGGGAAGGTTTAAGATTAGAAATCTAAAATTTGGTATTGGGATCACTTTTTTATATACCTGGTACTGGTCTAAATTAAGAAAATCTTTGGGTGAATATCAAAACAGCTTATGCGACATAGTGTTGTAACCCAGATGAAATATATACACCAATATTTTTACAAAGTGAATAGCAAAATTAATATAACTCTATCGTGTGGAGGCTACAGACGAACGTTAAGTTTGGAGTGTCCTAAATTAAGAGGTGAAAAAGACTAAATAAATCGGATTTATCCCAATTAATTGGAAAACTTTGACCTTTACCATTCTTATAGTTGAGTTGTACCATTACATGATAAATAGGTATTTTTTATCGATTATTAAAATAGAGCTACGTGACTGGAAAATGTCAATAGGACCTTCTATCCACTTAAAACATAGCGAGTTATGAACCTGGATGACATTTCTATTTTAAAATTAGTGTCAATATGGAGGCCGAAACCATCATAACATGTAATATACCAAATAAGGTTTATTTATTCTAAGTACCTCAAAAAGCGTAAGACAAAGTACTACTATTATATAGACATTATCACCAATACCCATTGAGATCTCAAAATATTAAATTAAAGGTTTTTCGTTCAAAAATGTGTAGAATTTGTCGGTGCCATTACAATTGTTTTAGAGAAGACAGCCAGTTGCGGTGTCGAAATGTTAGCCGATGACCTAAGTCAGTATAAACAGCGTTTTATATATTCTTACCTTAACACCTATGTCAAAACAGGTAACTATGTTGATCTTTTTATGATGAAAATTTATGTATGGGGAAATTTGGAGTCAATCGAGCAATGTCTGTCTGGCTGGTGCGCACTATAACTCTCGAAGGGAGTATCCGATTTTGTCTAAACTTGATATATTGTATATTATTGTCAAACTTAGATCGAGTTTGGAGGTGGGCAATATCGGCTCACTCCTTTGGTACCTCACCCACAAAAGGTCGAAATTTAAGAAAATATACTGATATTTTCATCAGTGCCATGTCAGGTGCGAAAATGGCCAATACCGGTTCACTCCATTAAGTACCTCCCCCACAAAAAGTCAAAAATTTGAATAATTATAACTCTTTTAAAATATGATGATATGATGACTCAATTCAGATTTTGTACATCTCAATTTTTTCATCAACACAAGATCTATTATAAAGATGTCAGAGATCGGAACATTTCTTCTGGAACCTCCCCCACATAGGTTACAAAATTTTGAATAACAAAACGCTCAAAGAAAGCGAAATTTGATAGATACAAACATTTTTGCTAACACAAGTTATCTGTTGTATAGATAATAAATATCTGCTAATCCCTTCTGGTACCTCACCCACAAAGAGTTACAATTTTCAATACTTCTATGTGTCATAACTTGCGAAACAATTCAGCGATTCTTTACAACTTGATATATCTAAATATTTCTCCCAGAAACCTGAGATGAATATGGAATTTATGATTTTGAATAAAATTGGATATAAATGTTCGATTTTCTTGTAATTTTGTACATACGAATATGTTTATCTGTATTAAATGAAGTATGAAAATGGAATACTTCGGTCGACTATGTCTGGTACCTCAAGCACATTTTCACATTTTCGAAAAATTATCACACATCCCAAACAAAGTTAAGGATGTAATCAATATAGTCCAATCCTGGCACGTCGCATATTTATATCATATTTATTTAGGTCCGATATGAAATGGATCATTTTGACCCATTCCTTCGGAACATCTCCCATTGAAGGCCAACAATTTGAATAATCATAACAGAAGTCACTATATATTCAAACAATCCAATACTGGCTGAGGGTATACACTTGTCGGCAAAACCGACTGATACTTTTTTATCATGCCTATTTCACTTAATATGGAGCAACTTAGTCGTACAGGGTGAGAGTAAATCTAAATTAAATGTGAGAAAATCTTTTGTGTTTCGTACCATCGCACGTTACTGTGATACTGGTAGCGTAGCCCGACGTCAAGGAAGTGGACGGAAGAAAGCAACAATACCAGCAGAAATGGTTCGAAAAGTAAAGAAGCGACTTCATCGAAACCCGCGTCGTAGTGGCCTGAAAATGGCTCGTGAGCGGAAAACATCGCAATGTTCCATTCGGCAAACATTGAAAAATGAACTTGGTGAAAAGCCATTGAAATTCCAAAAAGAGCAAGAACTTACACCGCAACAGAAAGAAAGTGGACTCAAAAGAGTAAACTAGTTGCTTCACTTGGCCGAAAGTGGTGAACTGCCGAATTTGGTTTTCTCCGATGAGAAAACATTCGTTGTCCAGCAGTTTGTAAACAAACAAACTGATCTTGTTTACTTGCCAAAGAGGTCAGCTGAAAATGTGCACCATCGGTTGGCCACCAGAACTCAAGCGCCGGCCATTGTGATGGTGTGGGCCCCCAAAACAGCCGATGGTCGCTCTCCGCTGTTATTAATCGACCGAGGCATCAGAATAAATGCCGAATATATTCTGCAGGGTGTATTAATGAATTGGGCACGCAAACATTTTGGCCGCAGACCTTGGACATTCCAACAGGACTCAGCACCATCGCACTCAACACGCGCCACCCAAGAATGCTTACAAAATGAGGTTCCTCGCTACATTTCCAGCGCAATGGCCACCAAAATCTCCAGTTACCAATCCGTTAGACTATTGTGTCTGGAGTATTTGGGAAAGCAAGTTTGGCACTATAAAATACGAAAAAAGAAAACATTATGGCGGTTGACTTTGTGCGCAGTTTTTTTTGTCACTCTGTAAGGGGACTTCTACCATATTTTAGTGTTTAGTGTGATACCCAATCACATGGTCGGCCCCGCACGGCTATAACCTTTGCATACTTGTTTTTCATGTTGCGAACAATTGCATATCAAAGTCCAACCAAACTTAATCCGCAGGAGATAATTTCCCATTCCAAAAGACTAAAACTCCCCAAGGACTCTCTACAATTTTGAAGATTGCATTGCAGACATTTTGGTCACATCAAAGAGATCAAAGTCCAACAAAACTTAATCCGCGGGAGATAATTTCCCATTCCAAAAGACTAAAACTCCCCAAGGACTCTCTACAATTTTGTAGAATGAATTGCAGACATTTTGGCATCAATATTTGTCATAAACAATAACAACTCTGTTCTTAAAACTTGAACGGATATAATGCGGTTAGT